ATTTCAAGGAACCAGGTCAGCCTCGTAGTTAGCATTCTTTCCATGAGTTTAGCCAATATGCTAGTGAGGGAGATAGACCAATAGTTGTCAAAGTTGTTAGGGTCTTTGCCCTTTTAGTATTGGTATTACTATGACAACTTTCAATTGGGTAGGTACAAAACTGGTCTTTCAAATTTTGCTGAATAGTGTCAACATGATTTCCTTGGATTTTGGCTCCATTCTAATTAGAAATACCGGATGGATATCGCCTTCACCAGGAGACTTTTTGCACTTTAGCTGTTTTATCGCAGCAGTAAGTTCGTGAGAGCTAAATGGTTCAGTAAGTCCATTGTGTGGCATTGTTGTGTCTTACTTATTTCCACCAAACTTTGTTTCTTGTTTCTTTAAATCTCTTGAAGACTTTCTAACAAAAGGATTTTTCTTTTGCTTGTGGGAATAGAACCTCGTAATGTAGTTAGCTATTTCGGTGTCGGCGGTAAGCAATTTGTAGTACTGTTTCGTTGTCGGTGGTAAGCAATTTGCTGTTTAAGCGCTTTGGAGTCGGTGGTAAGCAATTTGCTGTTTAAGCATATTTGGAGTCGGTGGTAAGCTGTTTGTTTTTAAAACTTATTGGTACAGCCTATTGGTTAAGCTTATCGGCTCTTTCTCGGGTCTTTTCTTGCTGTTTTGGTGTCTACCCAGGAATTTTAATGTGCGTTGGCTGTCATTTTGATAGTTGATACTTGAGAGGAAGTTGTCGAAGGTAGTCCGTTTGGCTTGTAAGATGGCTTGCCTTAGGACAGCTTTGTTTAGCTTGTAAGATGGCTTGCCTTAGGACAGCTGACTGTATTGCTTGTAAGATGGCTTGCCTTAGGACAGCTGATTGTCGTTTGCTTGTAAGATGGCTTGCCTTAGGCCAGCTGATTGTCGTCTGCTTGTAAGATGGCTTGCCTTAGGACAGCTGACTGCCATCTTTAGGCTTGTACATATTCCATTCTTCAAGTCTGTTCAGCAGTGCTTCGAAGGGCTTCCCGCTTTCTCTTCGATTCCTTAAGGTGTTTAGACCAGAAAACTCGATAGTTTTTAGTCTTGCCATGGAAGATAGTTTTCTTTGCACATCTGATCATAATATTTGTGATAGCATTGCACAGTTTGTCAGGATGGTGGTTGTAGTCGATGAAACTTGCTTGAAGTTCATTTTATAAAAGGTTAGTAAATCTAGGCCGGTCGGCCATCTTGAAGTTCGATGGTCGCTTGGTTGGCATTTTCGGTGTTACGCTTTTGTTGCCGATGCTAATACGAGCAATGACTGGTTTGTGACCAGAACCAGGATAGTCAATTATTTTGCTGCGTGTATGCTCGCTGAAGTTGCTTGAAGCTAAGAGGAAATACGGCGTGTATGCTCACTGATGTCGCTTGAAGCCAGGAGCAAGTTGCGTGTATGCTCGCTGAAGTTGCTTGAAGCTAAGAGTAAGCCAAGGGTTGTACTGGTTCCATTGTGGTGCAGGTATATAGCAGAATCCTCATCACTGTAAATAAGTTCTAGATCGCTGTTGTTAAGCATGTCATCTTTTTCCTTCCCAGCTGTGTTGATGTTCTTATAGCGTTGAAGTCTCCAAATACCGCAGTTTTGTTTGAGGTGTTCACACCTATTCTGGGGTGGATTATAGACCGCATATACCTTGAAGTGGTTTTGACATTTCCAAATATTATCTCGAATATGTCTTGCGTCGTGTCAATACTCTTGATTAGCTCGCATTGTGATGTGGGCTTTCTTATACTTCAGTCGAATTCCTCTTGCCACTTGCTGGTATTTAGGTAGGAGATATACGGTGTAACCTGGGAATCGGTAGTATTTGAGTTTGTTTTCCGTAAGGTTGGCTTCCATTATTGTGAATATGTCTATATCATAGGTATGTAGGATTTTCTGGATTTTGATCTTTTTGTCCTGCGAAATCCCTCCAGCATTCCACTGAAAGAATCTGTAGAAGTTGTGATTCGTGTTAATCTATTGCACACCCCTCGATGATTAATATGCTGGTATCTTTTCTTGAAATTAGCAGGGAATTTATTTTTAACATTTTCCTTTCTTCCAATTATTTCCCCAGATCACATAATATCTGTTCGTAAAATTTTATGAAGCTCACAACACTGTCTTTGGTGAAAAAAGGGTTCTCATATGCACTCAGACAGTCTCTTGAAAAAATTAAGCCTTAAGCAACGTTGAGAGTAGCAATAGTAAGTTGCCTTCCCTACGCTACACTGACTGTATGTGCTTACCTACTTTCACTACTACCTAAATATTTCACAACATACATCTTCTCTTCTTAAGACTAATTCTTTGGAAAGAAAAGGCAAAATACCTTCAATCCGGAAATGGGAAATAATAAAACCAATTCACTGTTCAACCAATGGAAAGTGCTGTAAGGTACTTAATTTTGATGGAAAGTTAGTTACTTTCCCACTCTAAATATTAAATTCATGAAAAAAAGACCATTTCCAGAAGAAGGTTGAGACTTCAGGCACATATTATTAAATACTCTTTATACCTGAGGCAGTTAAGGCCTCTTGGCCTCAAGAGAAACGTTGATTCGCACGTGCGCATCGCTTGTCTGAATTTGGACTTTCATTTCTTGCCACTCCACTTGCTGTGACAGCACCATGATTGATCGTGGATTTGAGTCCGCCAATCGACAAATTTCCTCACCCCCAAACATGCCATCTGGTTGCACGTAACTGCCATCCACTTCTCTCCCGACCAAACCATAAAATCCAATTTCGTTTAACTTCCAATCATTCGACTTTGTCATAACATTTAGGAGAATGAACCCATTCTATAGAAATTGACGAAGAGTGCTTCATCTTTTACGTGTGGCCTTATAGGGTCTACAATTTCCGTAACGTCACGAAAGTCACATGCTATAAACACAAAATATACGGAAATCAGTACATTTCCCAGTAACTTAACTCTATAAAGGAGTTTTTATTTTTCTCCACGCCACATTTAAAAGAAAATGTTGAAGTTAACAAATGAACTTAGAATCCATTCATTTGCATGCATTTTTAATTCTAAAAGTAATTGAAACAATCTAAAAATGTCTAGGGTCAATAAAGCTGACTTACCTCCACGTGGTGCACCCTGGGCAACGTATACTCATACGGCAAAAAAGTCTATTAACCGGCAGTTGACCTCTGACTTCAAACTACCATAACCCCACTGTATGTCATATTCGACCCCTTCCACAGTACTCATCTTGCCTTTGTGTCTGTCTGTCTTTTTCATCTGTGAATTGCTCTTCTTTTCCCCTGTCCAATTTTTCTCACTTTAATGTTCCTCCCTTCTGTGAAGCCCGAAGTCAACTAAAGGGCTAATGATAACTATCAAAATGCCTGCCATTTGAAATAAATAAATAAATATGCCCAAATGGTGCGGTTGACGCTTTCCTTTAGCAAAGCGAATAGTTAGTTGCTTCGAATTCAATGAATGAAAGAGTTCTGAAGCGGATTGCTACGTTAGTAAAGCCTGACTAACTCAGAAATCTCTATGGCAGATCCTCCAACATCTAGCTAGACTCCCAGAACCAGCTAAGC